TTACTGCAAAATGTCAAAACATGCAGCTTTATCAAACCACTGAGTTTCTCATTCTCCGAGCAGAGAGCCTGAAGTTAAGAAGCGGCGCAGGCGTACGACAGCTCAGGTTCAACTCGGATGTGAAGATGAAATCAGGACATCAGGATGCTCATCGTTAGCCCATCGTTAGCCCATCGTTAGCCCATCGTTAGCCCATCGTTAGCCCATCGTTAGCCGTCACAGATGGAAACGTACAAGAGAAGGTTACTCTTCACTCTCATTCTTTTGAGTCTCGAATAAGAACGATTGTTTTCTGAGTTCAGTCATTCTGGACTGGATCAGTTCTAAAAAGAATGATTTATTTAAGAAGGTCGTCGATAATTAACGGGAGAAAATGTGAGTAAGATGCTTTTGTACTGATTCCACTTGTGTTGAATGTGTGTGTGTGTTGAATGTGTGTGTGTGTTGAATGTGTGTGTGTGTGTGTGTGTGTGAGTGTGTGTGTGTGTGTGTGTGTGTGTGATGTTAGCGTGACGCTGTTCCTTGTACGTGTTGAAGACGATTCTCTTCAAACTCCACCTGAAAGAGACGTGAGAGCACAAAACAGAAACAGTTTATTTATCGAGGTCTCTCTAACACAGGCAGGTCTGTATATGATCACAGGACCAACGAGGCTTCAGAGGATCAACTCAACACATTGAACGATTTGAACCAGATGTAAATCCAGGGAATGATTTATAAATTACAGATCCGTAAAAGAATAAAAGAATAATATCAATATTCTAACCACATTACACCTGCCAAGGTGGTTCTGATTGTTTAATAGTTTATTAATAATAAACTACGCAACCTTTTCCCATTTTCCTTTTTTAACGAAAATTAATGTTGTAATAATTGAAATTAAAATCCAGATGGGAGTGAATTTCATGTGGTTTCATTGAGTATGAACTCAAGTTCTTATTAAACCTTCATTCGTCTTCAAAGAAATTATATGAATGATAAGTATTTAAAATTTGAAGGCTGAGGGATCCAACAAAAACGTTTATATAAATGAGATAATGTAGTAACACATTTCATCCTGATGTGGAAAATTCAACGTTGTGAAACGTGTTTAAACTTGATGGTCGTTGATTTCACTGCGTCTTCACACCATCGAACAGTTCCGGTGGTAGAGTCTCATGTCACCACTAGATGGCGTACTTGTCATGTTATACAACACTGAATAACAGCTTTGAGTATTTCAATGCAGAACTCACATCGTGATTTTTAACGCTCGAGAACGAAGAATGAAATGATTTATCTTTAGAACATCAGACGTTTCTCATTATTCATTCAGAATCTGTTCTCGTACCTTGTCTCACTGCCTCTGAAGTCTCCTCCTCCATTCTCTCCCCCTCCTCCTGATCAACATCCTCCTCCATCCTCTCATCCTCTCCCGTGTCCTCCTCCTCCTCCTCCTCCTCCTCCGTCCTCTCTCCCTCCCTGCCTGACGTAGCGCAGCTCGGTCGCCCTCGCTGCCTCTGGCTGCGGCGCACCTTGCGGGCGAGGCCTTTCCTCTTGGGAAAAGTCTGAACCGGGGTCACGGCCGGACTCGGAGCCGGGGACGAGGTGAGACATGACGAGGAAGGGGAGGGGGGTCTCGACCTTGACAGAGGACTGTGAGCTGATGCTGGGCAGGGAGGAGCCGCCGTGGACGGGGGGTGGCCGACAAATGTCCATGACACGGCTGCAGGGGTTGGAGGGTGCGAGCCTGAGGAGGTGCAGGGCGTCTGAGAGGGGCGAGGGTTCTGTGCGTCATCCAGCTCTGGATGTGGAGCGCAGGACACGTAGACTGTGGACGAGTCAGGAGCCGTAGAGCAGCCAGCGGCTTCGCTGTGGGCGGGATCTCTGGGAGGAGAGTCTACGACACACGAGGTAGAAATAAGAGCAGCGTCCAACTGTCAACTATCAATAATCTAAATCCTTAATGCTTCTGCGTTTCCTCCTACCGGGTCCGCTGCTGTTCTGAGACTCATCGGTCATCGGTGGTTCTGCCTCCTCCTGGATCGTCGGTACTGATGCTAGTAGACCTGACACACACACACACACACACACACACACACACGTACATTCATCATGAAACAACTATGTCAAGAGCGACGGAGAGACGAACGTCAGAGTCCCAGAATGACTGACACTTCTACACTACACAGGACGTGTGTCACACAAAACTCTTTGGTCACATCTGTTGAACTGCCTCTGACGCTCACAGTGTCTCACACACGACTTACTGAGTCCTCTGTAGTGGGACAGCTGCTGGTAGACTTGTTTCATCCTCTCGATGTTGAGCCTGCTGCCCTCTGCGTGGTTGATCATGGGTTTGGGATAATCCACTCCCACCACGCAGTTTGCCGCCTTCTGGACGGACTCCGGTGCGTTCCACGGCTCGTAGATGTAACGGTTGGGATAGTCCTTTAAGATGGGGATGTAACGCCTGCAGGAGATTTAACACAAGCGACTTTTCATCCTGCGGCGGTTTCAAAACATAATTTAAAAGCTTCAACGTTAAGAAGACAGTTTAAATACAGAGAAGGATTCAGGAGATACTGTCGGAGCATCGGTACCTGATATAATCTCCTGATGGGTCAGTTCTTCTTCCGAAGCCGACGGGACAGTAGCAGTGGAAGAACTGCTGGAAGAAGGCACTGCAGGACAACCACATCCAGCTGCCAGCATTCACACTCCAGTCTGCGTCCAGGAGCAGCTCCTCAAACACCTGCAACACACACACACACACACACAATGCATGTAAACTGTCTTCTATCATCTCCTCCTGCTGTGAACTGAGCTGACGTGTTTGAGTTTCAGTTCATACCTTCATGCCGCTCTCCCAGCTGATCCACAGGTCTCCTCTGGTCAGGAAACAGGCCACGGCGTGTCGGGCCAGGTGGTGGATCCAGCCCTCCTGTCTCAGCTGGGTCATGATGGCGTCGATCCAGGGATAACCAGTCCGGCCCTCGGCCCACTTCGCCAGTGCCTCTGGATTCTGGTCCCACGGGATCTGGAGACGATCGAGAGGGAGACAAATATGAACAAAACACTTGTCTCCACAGGAAACAAATACTTCTCTAACATTCAGTGGTTTTAGCTCATGAATTATTAAAGTAAATAGTTTTTGTTGATGAGGGTGAGTTTCTTGAATGTGACCCACCTGGACACAGATGGGGTTTGCATCCATGCGGTCAAAGTTGGGGTTGTTGGTGGCAGCGGTGTAGAAGAACTCTCTCCATAGCAACTGACCAAACAGGGACAGAGGAGGACTGCAGCGCTTACGGAGCTGACGGACAAACACGCGAGAGGAAGAATTAGGTTACGGCAGACGTCAGAGAGCAGAGGACGCAGAGACAGAAATCCACAGTACCTTCATGTAGAGCTCTCGCAGGTTGTAGTACAAAACCCTGCAGGACAGACAGCCGAAGCGCAGGTAGGGGCTGAGGCCGGTGGGACTGGCGTACAGAGAGCACGTGTTGACCCGAGGGTGCTCCAGGTTAGCCACCCACACCTGCACAGACAGACACAGAGAGGACATTCGAGAGACGCACCTGAGACGTCGGGTTCAGTTCTTCTTTTCAGTGGCCTTCATTTACCACCACAACAAAGAGACTCGTGTATTTATGTTCAGGGGCCGAATGTATCCTGCTGTTGTGAACAAGTGTGACCCAGATAATCTCCTGTGCTTCTTCAGATGTGAAACTCACGTCTGTCTCCGTCAGCGTCAGAGACGATCTGATTCCGCTTGTTTACATCATGTGACACTTATTAAAGAATGAACACTAACATTAAACTCGTCTGGATTAGTCCAGTCATGGGGCCTTAACGTCAGTTTCTGCTTTACCTTCTTGTCAAGATGTTTGTTGAGCCGGTCCAAAGCCTCAGATTCTCCTCCTGTCCACACAGCTGAGGGTAAACCCACCGTCCTGAAGCCTGGAGACACGGTGAAACACGAAGCAGCTGTCACACCGTGAACTAAACCTGTGCAGACACCAACTGTCCTCTCATGTCCTGTCCTGTCCTGTCCCGTCCTCTCATGTTTGCCAACGTTAGTAACCTTTAACGATGCTGGACCTAAAGGGTGGTTTGCTTCCACAGATAAATAAATAAATTAACTTGAACTGCGACTCCCCAGTGTCCTGATCACGTTCCAGGAGTCACATGGCCTTGCTCTCTCTCTCCCTCTCTCTCTCTTTATTTAACCTTTACTCTCTCGTTCACGACGTATTCATACTCTCTCATACCGAAATTCAAAACACAATATAAAGAACGCGTCACAGTGCTTCATCTCAGCGTATTGTACATAATGAAAACAGTCGTGCGTACCCAACTCTTCCAGAGAGGGTATGCTGTACAGCTGGTCGTGGTTGTTGGTTATCTTGGTGCGACATTTGTCCATCTGCTGCTGGGTGACGGGAGGCAGAGGTCTCCTGGGCAACTCCAGTCGACTCACAATGGTCTGAAACCGCTTGAAGGTAAGAGGAGGACTGTTGTTGTTCATCTCAATGATCCTGTGACGACAACACAAGAGACAAACCTTCTTCTTATATTACGCTCAACAAATAAATATATCAACGACAAACACGTGGTGCAGGAGTGTTTCCTGTTATCTTACTGTTTATGTCTCTTATGTTATGAATTTATTTGAGTCCGACAGATTTATGAGTTGAGCGATGAAAAAACAAACGATGTGAAAACACAGAAAAGCATTTCTGTTTAGAATTTAAGAAATAATCTTTATTTTCTTGATTTAAATTTGTATTTTCATTCACAGTTACTTTATGTTTATAAGTTAAACTGTGAAATATCAAACCTCAATAAATTTCTTTATCGTAATGGGGAATCATTGACAAGCATCAGTAACCTACAGGCTCAAGAATTAAAAAGTGTTGAATTAATGAACACTGTATTATCCACCTCATCATCATGAGTAACTAGTGAAGTGACCCTCATGTCTTAATTTTGTTGTATTTGTCGGAGCAGCTGACGGTGAAGCTCTGTATTTATAGATGCTGTCTTATACAACTTGTCTGTGACGACGCTCTGGATCGTCAGTCGCTGGATTTGCAACCGGGGAAGCTTCCTATTGGTCGACGGACTGTGACCAGTGAGCTGCACACATGTCCACAGTACGACCAATATAAACCCTGCAGCTGAGCCCGCGCACACACACACACACACACACACACA